GTTTTCATGAAGGAGCTGGAACTTGAATTTATTGTAAACATTTGGTCAGACAATTGGCTGAGAGCAAGAAGAGGGCATTCATATAAAGAAAATAGGCCCCTTTTTTACTTCTTAGAAAATTGGGATTTTTTTCCTCCAGAATAATTTTAGGAAACTAGATGTGAAGTTTTCTTGCTTAATCTCATGATAGCAGTAATTTTAAAAAATAGCTAACAGAGCAAAACATACACTAAGTAAGCTATATGCTAGACAACTGTGTTTGGCTCTCTATAAAATATATCGTTTAAACCTCACAATATCCCATGAGGTAATCACTTTTATCTGCATTTTACAAATGTAGAGACTGGGGCTCAGGTTGAAGAATGTGTCCAAGGTATCATATTTAATAAGTGTAGCAGAGCCAGTAGTCAAATTGTGGATTGACTCCAGATGCCATGTTTTTAACCATGTGATATAACCTCCTAATCCTACTTTTTCCTAACCTAGACAGTTTGTACAATGCATTTCTTTTCCTCTTAATCTCATCATACATGTTGGTTGCTTTGCCATTAATTATTTCTTCTAAATGTTAATATTTCTTCTATGATAGAAAAATTGAATACCTGAACTTGTTGGAAGTAACAAGAGCTTGAACTCTGGAGCTAAATTTCTGAGTTCAAGTCTTGGCTCTACTCCTTGCTGGCATGTACAAATTATATAACTTTCTGTGTCCTAATTTTATCATCTGTAAAATCTTCAAGTATAAACAATTTGAACTTGTAAGACTCAGGGCATATTGTTAGTTAGTCCAGGGCCCTCTTAAGGAAACTGTTGGAGGATGAACTCTGGAGATGAGTGAGGAAACTGGCAAGAGTACTGTTTGAAAGTGTTGAGTATATTTAACTACAGACATGAGACTGAAACAAAAGTGGCAATAAATAAGAAAGAATAAAATGTAGATGTTAAATGTCCAATAATGTAGGAATTGATCAGAAAACTAATGAAAAGAGGAGTGGAAAGAAAATTGGAGGTAGAATAAGTTTGTGGGTTGCCACACCTGTAATAGCTGGGAGTCGAAGGACATCATTTAAAGCCAACATATCAGTTAGTAGAAGTGTAAGCGTATTTAGCAGTACAAAGGTAAACACCGAGAAAGATAATACCATTGACTATAATTGTGTAGTACAAGAGGGACAGTGAGATTATCCACGCTAATTTCATTAGTGCTCATAGTAGGGAGTCAGTAGTTACTGTGTAAAGAAATAGAGAATTAATGGAACTAAATTCAATTTTTTAAAATTATAAAGATAGAACCAGAAACATATTAGAATGAAAATGCAAATCATCCTAATTATTGGGAAAATGGTAACTACACAAAAGAGAAAATAGACAACAGCAAAAGACTTTTTACAAAATTATTAAGCCAAACATAGCAAAATATGGTGAAACAAAGACCAGCCACATCTGCCATATCAATACTTTTTTTTTTTTCATTTT